TATTGGACAGCTAAACTCATTTAAGACCATAATGGGTTTAACAGTAAAATGAACCTACAACTACCTTTCTCCTTCACCTTTAATTATTTCATAGCCGTTATACCAAGGAACAGTGATTTCTCATTGGCTGCTATAAGTTACTCCATTATGCACATTGCTTTTAGTTATTTGAACAAAGGTCTTTCTGAATTTTAGATTTAGGAAAATAAATTCCTAAATCCCTAATATAAAATAATATAACTTTTCATTTAAAGAACCTACAATTCATTTAATTTCAATTTGATGACTTTTTTCTTTTTTAATAAAGGTATGGAATAATCAGCTTCTATCCTGGGAACCAGACGAGTTCTGTGGCATAAACCGTATCCTCATTCCAGAGGGTTCAGTCTGGGTTCCTGATGTCACTATAGCTGAAATGTAAGTGACTAGAAGCTAACATTGATTTTTTTAAATAACTTGTGAAAGTGCTAATATAATATATACATATGACTGTGCACTTGGATAGGTGAAAAAGAAAAAAATCATTTTTAAATTATAATTATAAAGAAAACATGTTTTTCAGTACATCTCTGCAACATATATACATGTGTCTCTTTAAAAACACAGCAAATACAGAGAACTACCTGTACTATCCAAAGTGCTCCTAACTTCCTGTTTGAGCTGACAACACATTGCCTTAACTGCACTAAAATCCCAAGCAGCATTGTAAGCCCTGCCCAGTTCTTCTTTGATGGCCTACAAACACCTCCCCACCTCCTTATCTGCATTAGGGGAGTTGTTCTGTAGTCAAGCAGAGGAGAAATCAGGCAGTGCGCATAAAGTAAAGAGTTCACTGGCAGTATAAACTGATAATTTTCTGTAAGATATTAAACAAAAACACACAGGGAAATACGCATGTATTGGATAGAGGGAGAGGTAGGAGAGGGAGAGAGTGAGTGAGTGAGAGAGAGAGAAGGAAAGAGAGAGAGAGACAGAGACAGAGAGAGGTAATCCTCTGAGTAATGTTCACTATCAGTCCACAATTTAACCGTTTTTGACAATTTAACAGTTCATAAAAATATTTTTTTCAGTTGCACTATAACAAAACAAAAAAAATCACTATATTTTTACCAGGACAGAGGATGACTCCCTTGATGTACTTTATATGCAGCTCTATTGTAATGGCACTATTCGGAGGATGAAAACTCTGAGGGTTGTAACCACATGTCCTCTTGACCTGTATAAGTTTCCATTTGACAAGCAGAAATGTAATTTGTCCTTTGGCATGAGCACAAATCCAGGTAATCACAAATAACTGGACTGGAAAGGTGAGTGTATGGACAGTATGAGCAGAAAACCCTGTATTTCCCGGTTTTAACTGTTGGTGCCTACATTTGGGTTTTCCACAGACATAACATAACAGTATAGATTTTTTTGCCATAATGGGCAAGTATGCACAGCAGATTTTTATGGCTTATAGCTGAACAGTCAAATACTTCACATGCGTATTTTATGAACATGCAGTCGATTAATTAATGTATAACTTCTGGAACAGGCTGTATAATTTTTGTATGAAATATAATTTGACTAAGGGGTTGGCTACAAGTATGGTAATCCCCGCCCTGTGTCTATAGGTAACCCTAGAAATATACACTGCTTGGCCCCCCAAAAAGTCACACTCTAATATTTTGTTGGACTGCGTTTAGCTTTGATTACGGCACACTTTCGTCGTGCCATCGTTTTGATAAGCTAATGCAATGTCACAAAACGTATTTCTATCCGGAGTTGATTGCTAAGTAAGAGTATAGATGTTTCTGGAACTCAGTTGAAATCCCTACGATCATCTCCCTGATTATTGCTCCCCCACGTCATCTACCCATTCACTGTACTTCCCCACTGCCCCTACTTCATCCCCCCTTCTACCCCACCTTTGTTCTTCCACCCCTGTCAACAACCCCCTTTCTTCTCTCTTCTCCTGCCTCTAATCCCCAATCCCTTTTCATCCATTCTACATCTCCAAATTCATGAATGGGAGTGCCAGCTTTTTTACATCACATGATATACACTGAGTGGCCAGATTATTATGACCACCCCATCAGTACTTCGTTGGGCCACGAGATGACTCCACGAGATGACTTCGTTGGGCCGCCTCGTGACTCCACGAGATGTTGAAAGGTGATGCGAGGAATCTGACACTGCACTGTTGCCCTTCTGTTGTCTTGTACCAGTCTTGCCACTCTCCGTTCTGCCCTAACATTGACTAATCGCTGACGGCCACAATTCTCACGTTCAGACCCAGATTTTTTCGTCTGACAGTCCAGTCTTTAAACACTCTAACAACAGCTGCTCTTGAACATTTACAAAATTCTGCTGTTTTGCTGATACTCGCTCCATGGCTCAGAGTGCCAACAATCATCCCACGTTCAATTGCGTTGTTTACCAATATCTTCAGAAAAAAATCACTTCTACTGTCGTGGTAAACAACCTGCTTCCCTATTTATAATGGTCTGGCCCTCTAGCAACTTCAGTGCAAAATTATAGGTAATTTGCCTACAAACCTCAGGTGGTCATAATAATCTGGCCACTCAGTGTACTCCTTGCATTCACCCACAATCTAGTGCAACTTCTTTCTGCATCACATCCTGATGTATCCCTCTCTATAAGCCATTGTCCAACTAGACCAACCTCATGCTCAGTCATCCTAGCCCTGTTGACCAAGTCAAACCCTCCAAGTGTCTCTACATAAAGGATGACCTCGTTTGTACATGTTTGTTTCCAATTATATGTCATACATACAGAATATTGCATATTTCATTTGTGTCATCCTGCAAAATATTGTGATTTATTACTTTTCTTGTTGATACTGAATTGAAAAATCCTAAATAAAGAATGCATAAAAAAACACACATACACACTTGCATGCCTGTTCAAAAATGTGGAAGATTAGAAGTGAATGGTGGCTATCTTGCCAGTCTTTTATATGGTATATAGTAAGTGTCAGGCTGTTCCTTTTCAATTACTGTACATTTATCTGCCCATGTCTATAGGATGCAAGGCTAAACTGTGTTTTGTTTTCTCTCTTTCCCCAGTTACTGATGTGCAGTTGATTCCCATCTCCAATGCTGAAAAAGTAACTCGGATATCAATAGAAGCATTTTCACAGTCAGAATGGAATCTCCAAAATATAACAATTATGCATTTGAATGCCTCTAAATATGGGGAGGAATGGAGTAAAGTCATTTATCAGGTAACAACAACCTGAAGGGTTAATAAACCCTCCCGTGTTTTTGCATAGATCTACTGCTAGCAAGCAGTAGATCTATGCAAAAAAATTTTTTTAAAAACCTTTTAAAAAGGGTTAATACTTACCTGTCTTCGCTGTGCTCCCGTCCGAACATCTGAAGAGTCTCGGGTGGCGCAAAGGATCTTGGGGCGGGCACATGTGCACTTCAGATGTTCGGCCCGGAGACGAGGAGAGACACAAGGTAAGTCTATGGAGCAGCGGGCACCCGCACAGACTCTGTGGGACATGAGAGAAGAAGAGGGCAGAGGAGTCAGAACAGGATCTTAGACCCGCACCTAGCGCTGGAGGGACAGCTGAAAAGGACAGGAAAGAAGATCGGATTAAGAGACATAATTTAAGGTAAGTCCCTACAGCAGGATTGGGAAGGGGGGAAAAAATTGGCTTTAATGTCACTTTAATATATCTACTATAACTCTAGTCCTAAGGCATAATGAACAAACTGTAGTTACCCCCGTTGTGTAAATGATAAATACAGTATCCTGTTCTCATTACTTTTTAAAACTGTGTTTTCAATTTTGAAGCACCATAGTAGGTGGGCTGTATTTATATGTACACGGTGTCAGTAAAATATTTTGTTATGGAAGCCTATTTAAAAATATGGGTCCCGTAGTGTTGAAGTTAATCAGTTTTCAGGGTACCCAGGAGGGTTCTGTTACCTGCCAGCTTGATTTGCCTCTGGGCCTCTGACAGGGGGATCTAACACAACTAGAATCTTTGTTATACACCCTTCGTCCACTTTAGTTATCAGAGACCATGTCTGGCTTTGTGAAGAGGAATATTTGGAGAATCTAGCAGGGAACGTGAAAATGTGCTTTTGTATTTTTGTGAGTTAATAAAAGGCTGCTTATCCCTCACTCTCTTGTGACCGATGCCCCAAAGCTGCTTCTATTCACTGCTCTGCTGGACACAGGCACTATGACACCATCATGTACAAGGCAGGACCAGGAGTCCTGCATTGTAAGAACACCAGTGGCCAATCCACAACCTGGAGCATCGGAGAAGAAGAGAGCACCGGCTGTCAGTGGAGTGAGGGACGTAAATCTGCATTTTAATTGTCCTTTAGACAAAAATTATCATGTAACTGTTGCCGTGCGAGGGAACCTTACTGCAAAGATAACTGTTAGGGTCATTCTTAGGTTCCTTAAGTCACAATTTGTACCCTCTTGTCTCTTCAACACTGACTTCAACATACATGTATAATAGAGAAAAATGGATGTTTGAGTTCTAAAAGCTTGCATTTTTAACGAGTGATCCTTAAGCAGACATAGTGGGAAAACTTGTATTGCTTTTCACATAACTTTTCCATTTTATTCTTATCTTACCACTAGTGAGTAGTCTTTCTTCATATTTTGTGTTTGCGTTTTGTGTTTAAGGAGAGCTCCCATTTTATATGTCATTAACCTTATTATACCAGCCTGTTTGCTTGTGCTGGTAGATGCATCAAGCATGTTTATTCCTATGGAGGGTGGAGAGCGTCTAGGATTTAAAATAACCGTTGTGCTTGGCTTCTCTGTGCTTCTATTGATTCTAAATGATTTTCTGCCTAACACAGATAATCCACCTATACTAGGTATGTATAACAATAATGATATAAGAAAATGGACAGTTGTATAACATTTCTTTTCATTTTCTTCCTACATTCTTGTTTCATAACAGATTAATTATACTGTATTGCACTACACACGTATCCAAATGTATAAAGGATGTATAGTACCATGTTAGATACAAAGAGAAGCAACAAGTGACTTCTAAAGAAGGGAAAGATGGGTCTTCTTTATATGGGATCATTTATGTTTTTCAATAGAATGACATTTTAGTAACAAAATGTTAAACCTAAATGACTGTCATAATATACATATTTTAGAGTTCTAGTATGGCTTGTATACTTTAAAACAGAAATATAGCCAAACCTTTTATTTGGCTTTAATTCTCTTTTGGTTAGCAGGAGTACATTTAGTAATGTACTCCTGCGACCCAAAGTTAGCAGATAGTGGTCTCATGCTCACTAACAGCTGACAGCACAGAGCAATGCCGCAGCCAGGAAGGATCCCACCAATATTTTTGGGATCTTCCCAGCTGCCTGATTAACAGCTGGCTCTGCCTCTTTGGAAACTCTTACCCTGTTTGCCCCTCCAATAAGTGCTATAGGAACAGAGAGGGGAGGGGGGAATCTTTGCGGAGAGCAGTGACTGACAGACACTCCTCCAGGCAGGGAGAAGACCATGAGCTGTCACATGATCACTCAGCTCTTGGTATAAAGCTGGTGTGTGACAGTTGCTGTGGTTCTAAAGGGTGGGGAGACTGTTTTATTTTTCATGACTTTTTCATGACTTTTGGAGGAACGTCCAGTTATAATGTCACTTGTGTGCCATATTTTCTCCACTTGTTGATGACCATCTTCACTATGTTCCATGATATATCTAATGCCTTGGAAGTTTTTGTACCCTTCTCCTGATACCTTCCAACTAAGAGATCACTTTGATGCATTGTAAGCTCTTTGTTGACCATGGCTTTTGTCATAAGAGGCAACTAAGTAAAGCTGGCCATACACCTTACAACCATCACATTACTTTTGTCGTGCGATGGTTGTAAGGTGATTAAAATTTTGTACGACCTGCCCATCTTGGACAGGCAGATCATACTTGTGATCATCACAAGCCCTCCCCACTGAGGGGAAGGCTTGCCGATGATTGCAATGCTGAGCGGGCAGTGTGCGCTTGCGCACACCGGCCCGTGCGGCTCTCGTCTTGCGACCGCTCTACCAACCCGCCGAAAATCAGACGATTTTCGGCGGGTTTTCTAGCGTGCTCGTGAGACGAAAGTCGTGCAACCGTACAGTTAATGCTGCCCATACACCTTTATGTGCACCTTTAATGTCAGAAAAATCCTACTAGAACATCTGAACATTATATGTGCTTCATGAGAGTCACTTTAAATGATTGCAGGTGTGTACTGATTATTTTTTAACATCAGTTTAACCCTTTCGCTGCTACCAACGTATGCCACCGGCTGGCAGCGGGTCCCTTTACAGTATAGCCATCAGGACTCTGTTTACATGTGTAAAGCTGACTGTCGGTTTTACACTGAAAGCCATTCACTTCTAGGGGCCATTGTAGTGCACCCCCCCCCCCCCCTGACACCCCAGCCTATCTTCCTGGCCTCCACTGCCCTTCCAATGGGCCTGGAGCCAGCATCACTGATGTTGGCAGGAAGCTGGGAAGGAGACTGGTGAACATCCATTCACTGATCTCCTCCCTGCTGAATGGGGCAGGAAGCGATGCTGATTGCATCATTTCCAGTCCCTCAGATGTAATTCCCCAGCTGAAGAATAGCTTCATTGGAGGGGAAAGGTGACACTAGGGGTCTAATTAATCCCTAATGTCACCTTAAAGAGAACCTGTCCAATGTACTTGTAAAGTCCCCTTATGTGATAGCACATAAGTTAAATAAAAGAAAAAGTTAAAAAAATAAATACAATAAAATAAATGTAAAAAAAATATATGTTAAAGTCCCCCGTGAGTGTGCACATATTAATATACACAAGCATCGGTTGCACCTACGTACGAAAACGACGATCACGCTACACATGTTAGGTATCGCCTTGTGCACCAGAGTGAGAGCAATGATTCTAGGCACATGAAAACAACAATCACTCTACACATGTTAGGTATCGCAACGTGCGCCAGAGTGAGAGCAATGATTCTAGAGCCAATATTCACAGATATCCCTAAACTAATAACCTGTATGGGCTTTTAAAGCGTCGCCTATGGACAAGTTGGGGTACCATATTTTGTCACCGTTTCACGGACACATGCAATTTTTAACCTGTCCATGTTGGGTATCTATTTATTCCTCATAACCTCATCCTTTATATTTTGCAAAACAAATGGGTATTAAATTGTACTTGTGGGCACTAAAATTAACTTAAGCAAATTTTAAAACCACAAAAAAGGCTTTTTCGCATCAAAAAGATTAAGTGTGATTGGATAATTCTGAACACAGCCTCATCCCTAATTACAGTATAAGAGGGCGTGTGCACTTTTGCAGCCACATTATTTTAGGGTCACCACCCCCCCTCCCCCCCTAATCAA